AGAAGATGACGGTTTGTGTAGTGAAACTCCTGCAGCCTTGGAAAGTGAAAGTCCAAATTCCCATGAGAATATTTCAGAGCCAAGCGATGAACTTTCACTCCCTTTTCCTCCCAGTCTTAGCTCTCCAGAGAATCTGACACCTGGTCTCTCTAATGAGGATAGGAGAGGGAAGATTTGGCAGAGCAGGGGAGAATCTCAAAGTTTACGAAGGTCAGCTAGACTGAGAGAAATGCAAACAAAGCCTGCAGGCGTGTCACGTAATAGATTTCTCGACCTTAAGTATCTCTCGCCTGGATGCATCTTCAGACCAGGCATCGTTCCAGATTCAGAAAGTCCAAATTCCCATGAGAATATTTCAGAGCCAAGTGATGAACTTTCACTCCCTTTTCCTCCCAGTCTTAGCTCTCCAGAGACTCTGACACCTGGTCTCTCTAATGAGGATAGGAGAGGGCAGATTTGGCAGAGCAGGGGAGAATCTCAAAGTTTACGAAGGTCAGCTAGACTGAGAGAAATGCAAACAAAGCCTGCAGGTGTGTCACGTAATAGATTTCTCGGCCTTAAGTACCTCTCGCCTGGATGCATCTTCGGACCAGGCATTGTTCCAGATTCAAGCATCATCCTTGGCAGGTCTCTTGATTCCAGTGGCCTTATTCCTAAGAGGCGTCCTAGTTGCTTCAAGTACGGTTAGTGGATTGCTAGCAGGTTCCAGGATTTAACAGTGTTACTTGTTGGGGTTCAGCCTGAGTTTGAACTTGAACCTGATTCTCTGTTTGTTCCTCCTGATGCTAATGAAAATATATTTACTGATGCTAATGGAAATGTACCTCTTGATGCCAATGCTCCTGAAATTAGTGAGGAAGAAACTTCTGTAGGTTTGGAAAATGCCAATGTTCCTGAAATTAGTGAGGAAGGAACTTCTGTAGATTTGGAAAATGAAAGTACCAGTGTTCATGAGAATGTTTCAGAGGGAAGCCATGACCTTTCACTCCCTTCTGCACCTGGTAACTTTAATGAGAACAGAAGGGGCCAGATCTGGCAAGACAGAAGTAAATCACTCAGCTTGCGTAGGTCTTCCCGATTAAAAGAAATACAAACAATGGCTTCAAAGCAGAGGGGCGGTTCACGGAACCAATTCTTCGGCTTGAAGTGCCTTCCGCTGGGCTGACTTTCTCAGTTCAGGCATCGTTTCAGATGGATGAAGACCTTGGCAGTTCTCCCGGTTTCCCTGGCCATGGTTTTGAAAGATTTCTAGGATATCAAGTACGGTTAGTGGATTGCTAACAGGTTCCAGTATTTTACAGTGTGGCTTTGGGTTTTGTTTTGTCCATTTAAATTCATGTTTGTTGATTTTGCTGTGGCTTTTGACTTGCATTTTTCCTTTATTTTGTAACCATTTTTCTTCAATAAAAAAGGATTGTTTTTCACAGTCAAGTGTGGTGGATAGTTATCTTAGGGCCTCATTCCCTGCTCTGGATTGCAACATTACTGTGGGTTTTTGATCTTGTTCGTGGACATTTCTTGTTGCTGATTTCTACTGTGGCTTTTTACCTTGCATATTTCTGTTGCATCCTAGTTCAAGAAACAAGACCATAAGATTAAATCCACCACTCTGGACTGTAGGAAAAGCAAACCTTGTTTATTGATGAAAAATTGGTTACAAAAGAAAGGTAAATGCAGAGTAAAAAAGCCACAGAAAAACACAGTAGTCAATAGGATCTCTGAACTTGAGCAAAACTTCAAAAGCCACAAAACAATAACCAGGAGTCTGTTAGCCTTTTACTAACCATGAACTTGGAAACTACAAGCCTCTGGGATTACTGGCCATGGAACACAGGAATTCTGCCAAGACCAGCCACAGTCCCGAACGTTGCTTGACCTAAAGAAGCACCCGGCAGGGATGCTCTTAAACCAAAGAAGCTATTCTTAGAAACGCCCCTTGACTTTTCTGTTTGGGCCTCTTTCTGCTGAAGCGCTGTGACCTTCGTACAGACTGGGAAACAAATCTATCTCTCACTATCTGTTCTCTTCGGACCTCATTATCAAGCCCAGGTGGGGAGATATCACGGCTAACTTCCAAAACATTCTCTTCTAACTGTTGGGTTTCGTTTTCATTCCCACTGACCTCTGCATCAACAACAGATTCCACACTGTCAGAGTCAGGGAGAGCTTGCTCAGTTTGAAAAACTATCAGAGAATCCTGTTCACACAGATCGGGATCAGACTGAACCCCAACAATTTCCTCTATTTTTGTACTCATCTTTCTTCAATAAAAAAGGATTGTTTTCCTGAAGTCAAGTGTGGTGGATTGTTGTCTGAGTTTCCTGCTCTGGGTTGCAACAGTACATGCCCAACTCTCGGCAGCCAAGGTCATGCTCACAGGATTTTGGGACGAGCACAGAGTAGGATTGATGGATTTTCTAGCCAAAGGGACCACGATCACTGGGTCATACTAGGCTTCACTGATGTGGAAATGGCAGGAGGAAATCCAAACCAAGAGACAATGTGGCATGCTCATCAAAGATGTCTGCCTTCTGCAACACAAGGCACCAGTTCACAACTCACACATTGCCCTAATGGAAGAAGCATGCTCCTGGGGCTTTGAAATTTGACCACATCCTCCTCATTTGCCCGACCTCGTAGCATCGGACTTCCACCTCTTCCCAAAAAGGAAGCTATTTTGGAAGGGCAAGCATTTCTCAGGTGATGAGACTGATTTCTGAAGTCACAAGGTGGCTTTTGGAGCAACCTGTTGACTTCTACAAGCGAGGTGTTTACAAAGATGGGAGAAGTGTGTGTCCCGAGGTTCTGAGAAGGACTCAGAAGTGGGCCAAGTTTCATTGCTCTCTGTCCAAAGAAGTGGGTCAGGGGAAATCTTTAATGAACGCCCCTCGTAGCTTTAAGTCACTGCTCATTCCAATGTTTTCCTTTCCTCCATCCAAATGCTCTCAAGTATCCTTTTCACATTACCATTTTCTAGTGCATCAAGTCTTAATCTTATCTGCCTCTGCTTCCAAAAGGTTTCCAAGCAGACAGGCCTCTGGCATTGTCAAGTTTTCATTATTTATCAGCAGCAAAATGCACAGGCTCAGGTATACAGGGAAAATAATAATCATCATAAAATAACTTCAAGACTTTTCTTCTTCTTCTTAGAAGGAGGTTGGGGCAGGGTTTAAGGTTCAAAATAAGGCCTTTTGAAAATCACACTTCATTCAGCAGCCAGCACTTATTACTCTCTTGAAAAAGCACGTTATATATATCTATATCTATATATTTATTGTTATTATCGTATTTCCTGGATCTGGCCCCCAATTTTGGTGAAGTCATCAAGAGTTCCATTTCCTTTTGCATGAGTCAACGTACAAATTCATAATTGCATCAAAAAAAAACCCACACCTTGTTTTGGATTGTTGTAGGTTTTTTCGAGCTGTATGGCCATGGTCTAGAGGCATTCTCTCCTGACATTTCGCCTGCATCTATGGCAAGCATCTTCAGAGGTAGTGAGGTCTGTTGGAACTAGGAAAAAGGGTTTATATATCTGTGGAATGACCAGGGTGGGGCAAAGGACTCTTGTCTGCTGGAGGCAGGTGTGACTGTTTCAACTGACCACCTTGATTAGCATATAATGGGCTGACTGTGCCTGGAGCAAACTTTTGTTGAGAGGTAATTAGTAGGGTTGGGCGGTTTCGTTCGTTAATTTCGTAATTCGTTATTAATTCGTATTTAAATTAGCTTACGATCCAATATTGAGCCATGCAGGAGTAATTAAAAATCGAAACGAATTTTTTCAATTTATTTCGTAATCGATTCGTAATTGTTTCGAAGTCGTTTCGTAATTGTTTCGTAATTATTTCTGCATGTCTGGGGCAAGTTTTATAGTTGTTGTTTGTTTAATCAGTGAAAAAAAATTATAAATATCACACCAACAGTCAACAACAGAGGGAGAGGGAAGCTTCAGAAGTTCCCCCTGTCCCATATGGAGGGTTTTTTAGCATATTGCGCAATCGCATCCGCCATTAACGAATCGATTCGTAATTGTTTCGAAATCGTTTCGTAATTTTACAAAATTTCATATATTTCGAACTTTTTTAAAGGAAAATTTCGGAATTCTTTTAAAAAACGAAATGCAAAAACCCCCTAAAAACGAATCGAGTTTAGAAACAAATTTTTCCGTGGTTACCCAGCCCTAGTAATTAGATGTCCCTGCCTGCTTCCTCTCTGTTGTTGTGCTGTTGCAATTTTAGTTTTTTAATACTGGTAGCCAGATTTTGTTCATTTTCATGGTCTCCACCTTTCTGTTGAAACTGTCCACATGCTTCTTGTGGATTTCAATGGCTTCTCTGTGTAGTCTGACATGGTGGTTGTGAGAGTGGTCCAGCATTTCTGTGTTCTCAAATAATATGCTGTGTCCAGGTTGGTTCATCAGGTGCTCTGCTATGGCTGATTTCTCTGGTTGAAGGAGTCTGCAGTGCTTTCCAGCCAGAGGCGGCCCTAGGTAATTTTCAATGGTAAGCAAACAGTATTTTGGTGCCCCCCCCCCCCACCAATCATTGATATGTAGCAGGAACGAGAGAGGCTAGGCGAGGCTCAAGGGCCCGGCCCCTTCGGGAAGAGGATCACCCGGCAGTGAGGCAAGGAAGCCGAGGCTCCCCCCGGACTGCTAGGGCTGTTGTGAGCCGAGGGGGTGCTCCTCAAGTGGCGGTCGAGGGGTATTTATTTATTTATTTATTTACTTTACTTATATACCGCTGTTCTCAGCACGAAGGCGACTGACAGTGGTATTTACAGAGGCGCCTCTGCACCCCTGGCAAAAAAAAGTGTACTGCAACCGCTTACTTTGCGTAATGGATGAGCCGCCCCTGCTTCCAGCATACAAGAGTCCTTTGTCCCACCCTGGTCATTCCACAGATATATAAACCCCTTTTCTTAGTTCCAACAGACCTCACTACCTCTGAGGATGCTTGCAATAGATGCAGGTGAAACATCTGGAGAGAATGCCTCTAGACCATGGCCATATAGCCCGAAAAAACCTACAACAACCCAGTGATTCCGGCCATGAAAGCCTTCGACAATACACCTTGTTTTGTTTTGTTACAAACCATCGGCTAATATTGTCACTGCAAAGGTTTAAAACATTTAGAAAACACCAAAGTTTGGATCCGTGAGCTTTTCCACCGGGAGAAGCGTAAAAATGGGTACAAAATGGCTCAGAGTGATAAGACGACACAGTGTCTATGGAACGCCTCGGCCCTGGATTTTCTCACTACGCTCAGAATTGCATTACAAAATATAGAAAACTGATACAAAGGACCGACCGAACAATTTCGAATTTTTTTTTTTTAGCAAAAGCTTGAAATTGGAACAGGAAATCACACTTGCTTGAGTTTCCAATCTAGTAAACTTACCTTGTGTGAGAAAGAGTTTGAGATCTGAAACCCTTCCATAAAAGGTTGGATTTTAATGTTTCCAGGACGGATTGTGATTTCTCCCTCCCAGTTCCCATGTTGAAAGTCCTTCCCCAACCCGCCCCCCCAAGCGAGAAAACCCCTGGCTCTTGTCGAGTTGTAAACCACAGGGCAAAACCTATGAGATGAGGTAAGTCAATTTGGCACATATATTTTAGTGATGTCCATAAAACTTTTGGTGCATTCGACATGATGCGACTGAGATCGTTGATTTCAAGGGCAGGGGTGGCTCATTGTTATCGCTGGAATGTTTCCAGTAAATTAAAAAAAAAAACCAGAAGGGAAAAAAAAGGCAAACAAAACTCCAGAAAACACACTCACAACCCATTTCGATGTAAAAATATGTACAGTACAACACTTGTTCGGAGTTTGGCACAATTTGTGTGGCTGTTGTGGATCATAGTGCATCTGTACAACAGTACGACTCGTTTTTTTCCCTCGAAACACGGGGAATAAACCATGTTAGTTTTGTTTCCAAAAAAGTCCCAAACTTTTGATTCCAGCACTTAACACTTCGACATATTACAAGGCATTGTTAATATTGTTTTTTGTTTCCTTTTTGAGTGAAAAAAGGGGCCAAACGAAAAATATGGGGGAAGGAAAGAAGAACCCAAGCAAACATCAAATGTCTTTTTAGAAACAGGTGTCTCTTCTTCAAATACGGGTAAAATCAAAAAGGCTGTTTCTGCTTTAAGGAGAATGTAGTCTGTTTCCCTGCAGAAAAACCAAACATTTTTTATGCCACCTTAGTTAGCTTGTGAGGAGTCAACGAATGCTCTAAACTTGGAGAGAAGAGGTGAAGCTTTATGGTGAAGGTTAGGATCAAAACAGCAGAGGGGGCGAAAAAGCACAACGGGATTGCCACATGGCCATCGAGGAGGAGAACGGAGTTGGTCATTCGGCAAACTAAAGACCCTTTTCTGTTTGGATGTGTCGGCTGTCTTTTTTTTTTATGCATAACTTCTTTTTTTGTATTCTATTTTTTTATATAAAATCTTCCCTCCCCAAAAAAGTCTTTTCCTCTTTTATTTTTATTTTTTGGAAATAATTAGAAAAGAGTTTGTAATTGATTACTTAAAAAAAAAGGAATTAGAAACTCAAAGAAGCCCAACAGCGAGAAAAAGGAGGAGTAGCCTTTGTTAGTTTGTTTTTAACCCCAGCCAAGCCAGAAGGAAAGAAAAAAAAAGAAAATATTGATTTTTTTTTTAGGTAGCTTGCAAGAAATAAGTATTTTTTTTGTTTCATGCACTTTTCGAGAACCGAAAACGAGAACGACGACAACGACAACCAAAAGAAAAAGACCTGTCAAAGGGGGGAAAATGTCTCTTTCATGCAACTCTCGCTTTCACAGGGAGGAAAAAATGAGGAAGAATGGGCTTAGCAGGTAGTAGGGAAGTTAAGGGTGCATTCCGGCCCGCGTGGCTCAGCATTACCTCAGTTTCTCAAACGCAGCTGTCACAGAGGGCTCCTTATGGGCCTGATCCCGCTCCGCTCGCTTCCCTTTACAGTTCTCATCCCTCAAGGACTTAGACGTGGATTTATGCCGGTACAGCTTTTTATGGGTAGGCTCGTTTTTGGCTAAAGTGCTCAGGTTACTGTAGCTTTTATCAAAAAAGGGCGGGTGGAGGTCCGTGGCGGCGTATCCGGCCGAGCAGTTGGGGCGCCCCGCGTCGCACCGGCCGCCGGCTTTGCCCAAGCCCTTGGCGCCCGACTTGTGACCCTTTCCCGTCGAACCGCCGTTCGCCTTTTTCTTGGAGTCTTGGGACGTCCCGGCTAGGATCTTAAGAGTTTTCAATTTCAGGCTGTTGGATTCCGGCGACCGGAATATATCCGAGACGTTGTTATGGCCCACGGGGCCCCACAAGGGTTCGATGGAGGCCATCATAAATCTCTGAACATCTGCCATGCCAGATGCAATGTTTGATAAAATGTTGGACGGCTCCTCGAATTCCCTTTGATCGTCATCAAGGAGGCTATTCGCATTTCCGATGCTGCTTTCGGACCAGCCTCCGCTGCTGCCGTCCTTCCCCAGAGCCCACTCCCCAGGTAGTCCGTTATGCTTCCCCAGCCGGACGGAGCTTGGGCCGCAGTGCCGGACGGACTCGGCCAAGGCTTTCGCCGGACCGTTCAACGGAGCCGCCGCTCTCCCTCCGACGCCTGGGCCCTTTTCGCCATTCGCCCCGGCCGCGTTTTTGCCTCTCCTCGTTGTTTTCGGAGATTGCCGGGAGTTTTTCCCTGGCGGCTTTTCAGTCCCTTTGCTGGTTTTGGGCGATTTTTTCCGAACGTTTTTCTGAGGAAGGCTTTGGTTCGTGCCCACGTTTTTATTCATTGAACCCTTCTTCTTTGATTTTGACACTTTGCTATTGGCGCTAATTTGACCAGATGGCTCATTAAATGTTGACAAGCACGGGCTTTTTTCGAGGAGGCTGACAGAATCCTCGTCGTTGAACATATGGAACTGGAACTGGTGATTGTTTAAAGTGAATCCGTTATCAGCCTGGTCTTGGGTCTGGAGGACCCCGCAGCTCCACTTGGCCTTCTCAAGGTTGCTTAGCACGGCTTGGGAACTATCGGGGAAACATTTCACATTCCCGACCGGTTTGGTTTCCGGCCCCGTTATCTGCGGGGAAAGGTTGGGGGTATCTGGGGGAGACATTTCGGAAAGGGAGGACTGGCGGAACTTATCGGGGGTGAAGTTAGAAATATCTAAAAGGTCGGTGGACTCCTTCAAAGGCGTGATTTCATCTATGCTTTGCTGGATGACCAGTTTGGGGCTGCAGTGGGCCAGGAAATCATCAGCGATATCATCCTCCCCATCCTTTTCACAGGACTTTAAACTTAGGGAGCTATAATTGCTAGAACTAACGGACAAAGAGCCCACCGAGTCAAAACTAACCAGCCTCCCATCATCTGTACTTAGTGTACCTCGCTGGAAATGGAAAGGTCCCTCTCTGTTGCTAAAATGACACGACTGGAAGGAGTCGTCAGACTGAGATTGCTGGCTATCCGGCAGGTATTTTTTTTGGTATAGTAACTTGCTGTTACTGTGATCCACCTGACCATACCCAGGGGCCGGGAGGCTATCTGCACCCGTGCCGCCAACAAACTCTGCCGTCGTCGACAGGCTGTCGCTTGCGAAGTCTTGACTGTCGTTGCCAATTGATTTGTTGGCTGGCCACAGGCTCCCAAAGTTGCTTGGCTCCATTTCCAAGTGGCTTGGTGACTGTTGAAGCTCCGATTCAGATGGCGGGGAGAGGATGCAGCTCTGGGCCGGCTGCAGAGCACAGAAGGATTTCTCTGCTTGAGCAAGGCTGGGGAGCGGCTCCTGCTGCCGCTCAGGGGGCTGGGAACTGAAGTAGGCGATGCCGGCACCGCTTGACAAATCGGAGGCATCTAACAACGTCTGCAGATACCCTCCGGGGATGAGGGGCACGCTGGCAGCAAGAGCAGCAGATGGAGGAGGCTTGTCTGAAGAGCAGGTGGTGGGTAGGAATGACGGAGAATTTTTAGCAACCTTATCCTCCTGGCACTCGGAAAGGCGAGAGCCGTCTGCGGCGCAAGGAACACTCTTTTCCTTTGAACTCGTGGCATGCTCCTGATTCTCCAAGGCTGGGGAGGCCTCTGCCAGGCTGGCGGCCGCCTTGATGCGCTTGCATTTCAACCTGGCCTCGCTTTTGAACTTGATTCTGCGCAGGACCTTCCTGTCCGGCCCCTTGAAGTCCCTGTCCTGCAATTTGCACTTGGGCGAGCCCAGGGCGACGATGTCGTTCAGGCGCAGCCCGTTTGCACAAGCCGAGGTTGTGATGGCCAACGCTTGCATCTCTTTCAGGCCCGCCTCTTCGCCAGCTCCGATCCGGTGACATAGCTGCTTTGGCTCCAAAGAGTTCAGTGACGACAGCTTGCCCACTGGTTGCTCGATGGCCTTGATTCGCTGGATCCGGTGCCGGTTGGCTAATTTGCACTTGCGCTTTCGCGGGTGAGGCAAGAAGGAGACCTCCGAGCCGTTGAGATAGAAGCCCTGCTTGCGATACAGTGCCGACCTGAGGAAATTGAGGCGGCTCTGCCACCTCTCTTGCCAAAATGCCTTCAGGGGAGCCAGCTTGGCGTACTTGCTCAAGAGTTCCTCGCTCAAGGTCACACTGGTCTCGCTGGAATCCACTTTGCTTAGCTTCACGAGCATGTGCTTCTCCCCTTTGAAACGGTTGATGATGATATACTTTATGATGACCGGCGGTTCCTTGCGGGAGACTTTTCGCCTTTTCTTTGGGCACCACTCGTCGTCGTCTTCCTCCTTGGGCCCGTCGGGATTCCACTCTTTCTTGTCCACGATCTTCTCGCTCTCGATGGAATCGACGTCGTACAAGTAGTCGTCGCTGTAGCGCACTTTCCTTTTCGCTCGCAGGCCGTAGTTCTGTTGTATAGAGGAACTGGAGTGGTCTCTGGGCAAATACTTGTTGCAGTCCTTGAGGTCTTGAAGGACATCAAAGGACGATTCAGTGCATGTGCTGTCGTCACTGAACTCCCCGGAGTCTTCGGTGGAGTTCACAAGTTCCAAGAAGTGATTTCTTTTGGGACCAATGTATTGTACGACCTCGGTACTGGTGCAAGATTTGTTTAAGGCAACTTTCTCCCCCTCGGCCTCCTCTTCCTCCTCCTCCTCTCCCCGCTCTCCCTCGGCCTCCTCTTCCCCCCAAACGATGCTCTCCTCAGACTTGAACTGGGAGCTCTCCGTGGCCCCCCGAGGGCCCCTCTTCAAGGCCGCCCGGCCTTCACGCTTGGAGCAGCCGCTGAAGACGCTCGGGAAGAAGTTGAACTGGGTGTCCTCTTGCAGGCCGCCCGTCTTCTCCCTCACGTTGTCCTGGAAGGACTCGTAGCGGATCTTGAGGGAGCAGACGTCACTCCCCAGCGTGGAATCGTCGTCGTCAAACATGTAATTATCCACGTCTTCCTCTGAAAACAGATTGACAGACAGCTCGTTTTTGGAGCAGAGGTCAAGCAGTTCAATTTTGCTTTCACTAATGAAAGATTCAAAATAACCCCATTCCTGGTTGGGATTTGTGAGTAAAGGTTCCTCCCCATTGCACTTGTCTAAGAGTAATCCCTCGTAATAATTTTTCTGAGCGGGGTCCTCGGAATCACTGTCGGATTTCTCCGCATCTCTTTTGTCTGCCGCTCTCGATTTATGCACAGGGAAGCTTAAAAGCTGGTCTGAAAGCAGTTGATCCCCGTATCTCATGGTTTCTCCCGTGCTCATGCAGTGAATGCCAATATCGGAGACCGAACAGGTGTCATAATCTCGATTTATGTCCCCCACTTTCAGGCTGATTCCGGGCTCTGCGTCAATGCCGTCCTTGGATTCGATGAAGCAGCCCAGGCAAGTCCGGCTGGGCTGCATCAGGCAGTCGCCGGTGAGTGCGGACATGCTCCCGGGCTCCATGATGGTGAAGGGAGCCTTCTCGCAGTCCCCGGGCAGGGACCAGGTGCTCATGCCCTTGGTGACACACGACGTCAGGGAAATGGCGTGGACGGAGGAGGAGTCATCGGAGATGTGGTCGGGCACGTCGGCCAGCCTCAGCGGGGAGGGAGGGCTGAGCCAGCAGGGCTTCTTGCAAGACGGGGCCGGCTGGGCGCGGGGAAGGCCTTGGCTTTCCTTCTGGGCTGCAGCACTCACGGCTGGGAATGGGGCGGCAGCCTCCGCAGCATGGCAAGGTTTCTCGTCACCATCCGAGTCGTGTGATTCTGAGAAAAGGAAGAGAAAAAGGGGACACTTAGCCTCTTTAGTAGCCACCTTCCCACCATATTCACACAACCTGGTGTATGAAAAACCAAGCCTAGGTCAAGTTATAAAGTATTTACCCAACGGGTTGTGCATAACCACACCCAAGTTCAACTTCTTATGATAGTGGAGTGGGCAGATCAAACAACAACCTGTGAAAAAGATCTTGGAGTCCTCGTGGACAACAAGTTAAACATGAGCCAGGAATGTGATGTGGCGGCAAAAAAAGCCAATGGGATTTTGGCCTGCGTCAATAGGAACATAGTGTCTCGATCTAGGGAAGTAATGCTACAACAACCCATGGATTACGCCCTAGAAAGCCTTCGACAATACATTTCTACCATTTATTGGAAGCTATAACAACAACCAACTGCTCACTGGAGGGAAAGATACTAGAGACAAAGTTGAAGTACTTTGGCCACATCATGAGGAGACAGGAAAGCCTAGAGAAGACAATTATGCTGGGGAAAGTGGAAGGCAAAAGGAAGAGGGGCCGACCAAGGGCAAGATGGATGGATGGCATCCTTGAAGTGACTGGAATGACCTTGAAGGAGCTGGGGGTGGTGACGGCCGACAGGGAGCTCTGGCGTGGGCTGGTCCATGAGGTCACGAAGAGTCGGAGACGACTGAACGAATGAACAACAACAAATAACAACAACAACAATAATCTTGTGATGTACTCTTAAGCCTTTCCTGCTTTTCTGCTAATGCTTTTGGCTATTTGTGAGGAGCGATAACAACAATAATAACGGTCTTATGATATACTCTTGAGCCTTTTTTGCTTGATAACATTTCTGCCATTCAGAACAACAGTAATAATAGTAATGATCTTGTGATATACTCTTAAGCCTTTCCTGTTCCTTACTAACACCTTCTGCCATTTAGGAAAAGCTGCAACAATAGTTGTAATAGTAATAATCTTGTGATATACTCGTAAGCCTTTCCTCATTCTTGCTAATGCTTTTGGCTATTTGTAAGGTGCCATAACAACAACAAACTTAACAATATCAATGATAACAACAATAATAATGGTAACAATCTGAGTCTCCTTGTGGAGAAAACAAGTGGGATATAAAGGAGCTGTGCATGTTTAGCCCGAAGAAGAGAAGGCTGAGAGGAGACATGATGAGAGCCATGTATAAATATGTGAGAGGAAGCCACAGGGAGGAGGAGGGAGCAAGCTTGTTTTCTGCTTCCTTGGAGACTAGGACGCAATGGAGCAATGGCTTCAAACTACAAGAGAGGAGATTCCATCTGAACATGAGGAAGAACTTCCTGACTGTGAGAGCCGTTCAGCAGTGGAACTCTCTGCCCCGGAGTGTGGTGGAGGCTCCTTCTTTGGAAGCTTTGAAACAGAGGCTGGATGGCCATCTGTCAGGAGTGCTTTGAATGCAATATTCCTGCTTCTTGGCAGAATGGGGTTGGACTGGATGGCCCATGAGGTCTCTTCCAACTCTTTGATTCTATGATTCTATGAAATGCTAATCAAGGTGGTAAATTGTAACTTTCAATGTTTCACATTCACAAACATAGAATCATAGAATCAAAGAGTTGGAAGAGACCTCATGGGCCATCCAGTCCAACCCCATTCTGCCAAGAAGCAGGAATATTGCATTCAAATCACCCCTGACAGATGGCCATCCAGCCTCTGTTTAAAAGCTTCCAAAGAAGGAGCCTCCACCACACTCCAGGACAGAGAGTTCCACTGCTGAACAGCTCTCACAGTCAGGAAGTTCTTCCTCATGTTCAGGAGGAATCTCCTTTCTTGTAGTTTGAAGCCATTGCTCCATTGCGTCCTAGTCTCCAAGGAAGCAGAAAACAAGCTTGCCCACTCCTCCCTGTGGCTTCCTCTCACATATTTATACATGGCTATCATATCTCCTCTCAGCCTTCTCTTCTTCAGGTTAAACATGCCCAACTATTTAAGCCGCTCCTCATAGGGCTTGTTCTCCAGACCCTTGATCATTTTAGTCGCCCTCCTCTGGACACATTCCAGCTTGTCAATATCTCTCTTGAATTGTGGTGCCCAGAATTGGACACAATATTCCAGGTAAAGTGGTCTAACCAAAGCAGAATAGAGCATGGGGAGCATGACTTCCCTAGATCTAGACACTAGGCTCCTATTGATGCAGGCCAAAATCCCATTGGCTTTTTTTGCCGCCACATCACATTGTTGGCTAATGTTTAACTTGTTGTCCACGAGGACTCCAAGATCTTTTTCACACGTACTGCTCTCGAGCCAGGCATTGTCCCCCATTCTGTATCTTCAGAAGGAAGGAAGGAAGGAAGGAAAGAGAGAAAGAAAGAAAGAAAGAAAGAAAGAAAGAGGGAATGAAGGTTGGCCACAGCAATGAATGGCTGGTACAGCTAGTGTAAATAATAATTAAAAGGAGGCATTGCTCCATATCTGCCTCTCACCCCATGATCCCGGTGCTTTGGCCTAGATATATGCCTCCTGGCCTTTTTACTTGCTGAGGACTGGCCTAATTTTCCTTCTCAAGGAAAGCCTACGTGGCTAATGGGAAGCCTGATGGTTCCCAGGAGCACCTTTGGACAAAATATACAGAGCAAGGAGGAACGTCTTTCTCATAAACTCATTTTCTCTGGGGGGTTAAATGCTACCAATTGCAAATAAATAAATAAATAAATAAATCTATATAAATAAAAATGTAATGCTCGTTTGTGGGATTAACAGAACTCAAAAACCCCTGGACGAATTGACACCAAATTTGGACACAAGACACCTGCCAAAGCCAATGAGTGACCACCACTCATAAAAACACTGAAAAACATAGCAGAAGGGACAAAAAACAAAAACCCTAAAAGTTACAACGCATATGCAAAACCACATATACACACACACAGATAGATAGATAGATAGATAGATAGATAGATAGATAGACAGATAGATAGATAGATAGATATGAGAAGGAGGGAGAGAAAGAGGAAAAGGTGGGGAGAAAGAAGGAAAGAAAGAAAGAAAGAAAGAAAGAAAGAAAAAGAAAGATAGAGAAGGAAGGAAGGAGAGAAGGAGGGAGAGTAAGAGGGAAAAATGAGAGAAAGAAGGAAAGAAAGAAAGATAGAGAAGGAAGGAAGGAAGGAAGGAAGGAAGGAAGGAAGGAGAGAAGGAAAGAAAGAAAGAAAGAAAGAAAGAAAGAAAGAAAGAAAGAAAGAAAGAGAAGGAAGGAAGGAAGGAGAGGTGGGAGAGGAGGGAGAGAAAGAGGGAAAGAAAGTGGGAAGGAGAGAAGGAAAGAAAGAAAGGTAGAGAAGGAAGGAAGCAGAGAAGGTGGGAGAGGAGGGAGAGAAAGAGGGAAAGGAGAGAAAGAAGGAAAGAAAGGTAGAGAAGGAAGGAGAGAAAGAAATAAAAAAATGAAAGAGGGAAGGAGAGAAGGAACGAAAGAAAGAAAGAGAGAAGGAAGGAAGGAAGGGGGGAAGAAAAAGAGGGAAAGAAGGAGGGAAGGAGAGAAGGAAAGAAAGAAAGATAGTGAAGGAAAGGAGAGAAGGAGGGAGAGAAAGAGGGAAATAAGGAGGGAAGGAGAAGGAAAGAAAGAAAGGTAGAGAAGGAAGGAAGGAGAGAAGGTGGGAGAGGAGGGAGAGAAAGAGGGAAAGAAGGAAGGAAGGAGATAAAGAAGGAAAGATAGAGAAGGAAGGAAGGAGAGAAGGAGAGAGTACCTTGGGAAGTCGGATCTGGCCACAGTGGTCCACGCTCTTGTCACATCCCGGTTGGATTACTGCAACGCACTCTACGTGGGGTTGCCTTTGAAGACTGCTCGGAAACTTCAACTAGTCCAGCGAGAAGCAGCCAGATTGCTCACCGGAGCGGCGTATAGGGAGCACACCACCCCCCTGTTGCGTCAGCTCCACTGGCTGCCGATCCAATTCCGAGCACAATTCAAAGTGCTGGTTTTGACCTACAAAACCCTATACGGTTCCGGCCCAGTGTATCTGTCCGAACGGATCTCCCTCTACATCCCACCTCGGAAGTTTAAGATCTTCTGGGGAGGCCCTGCTCTCGACCCCGCCAGTGGCACAAGTGAGGCTGGCGGGGACGAGGAGCAGGGCCTTCTCAGTGGTGGCCCCTCACCTGTGGAACTCACTCCCCGGGGAGATCAGATCGACGACTTCCCTTCTAGCGTTTAGGAAAAAACTAAAGACCTGGATGTGGGACCAAGCTTTTGGCCATGCTGACAACTAACTAAAGGACCTGTCGATAGACAAGGACAATGGAATGGAATGGATATATGGACTCTGATATATGGACTCTGACATGAGATAGTTTTTATGATTTTATTAGGTATTGATGTTTTATTTTAATTGTTGAATTGTTATATTTTGTATTGTTTGTTGTGTGTTTTGGGCATCTAATTGTGCCTTTCCTGTAAGTCGCCCTGAGTCCCCCTCGGGGTGAGAAGGGCGGGGTATAAGTAGATGAAATAAATAAATAAAAATAAATAGCAGGGTATAAATAAAGGTTTATTATTATTTATTATTATGCCTATACATCAGCGTAATGCTTGACATATGACAAAATCTAGGTTTGTATTTTGGAATCCCCCCCCCCCCCAAATATTTTCAATCTGTGATTGATTGAATCTGCAGATGCAGAACCCATGGATGCAGATGGCCAACTGTATGGAGAGAGAAATTCCTGGATGTCTAGGGAGCAGGCAGAATGGTTGAGATTTCAAGAACAAAGATGTTGTTGTTTTTCTTAAGCATTTCCACTCTTAACACCTTTATGCATTAAGGGGCTTTACAGTCTGTTTTTTTTTTTATATTTAATGTCAACACTCATAATTCTGGCGGGTTAAAGGAGAAGACTTAAGTATACCTACATACACACCCAGATGGTAGGTTAGATAACAAAGCAAATAAAAATCTTTGTGGTCTCCGACATGTTGACACCTTTTATGCAAGTTTTGAACTGTCAGGGCTACTTAGCTCAAGACGTGCAATGTTTTAAAGAGTGTGCTCAAACACAAAATTCAGAAATATCAGCCTAGATTGTCATGACACAAAATACAGACATTCACAGGGTGTCACAAAATTGTATACACCTTAATAGCTTAAAATTCGGAGGGGGATTAGAATTTCTT